TAAGTTTCCTTGCTAAGTTTTAAAATTTAATAATTAAATATCTGATAATGTCAAAATACTATAAAAATATTTAATTACTTGATCCTTGTAGATATTTTCTCGAAAATCCACAGCTTGCTAAAGAATTCAGCTTTAAGTTAGCATAGACAAAATTTAAAAACTAAAATAAAAAAACTATTACATTTCTTTTTGTTGCTTTAAAAAATTTGCTTATAGATTTTCAATTATCTTTGCTTTGCAGGGCTGTATTTGCTTCCTTTTTTTTTTTAATTTTATTAAGTTTATATTATTGAAGCATTCAATTGTATTGATTTTTTTATAATGATATCAATAGATTAACTTAAGTTTAAAAATAGAAAATTCTTACAATATTGTTACTTGGAATTAAAACAATGGGGTATTGATTACTCGATGCATTTGCTATTTCAACATATATATACTTTAAATTACCAAAAAAAAAAAAACTGTTAAACCGTTATCTGCTAAATTCGATTATTAAATATATAGATTTTTACCTGATTATCTTGAGAATTACATTGGTCTAGAGACACTGCAGATTACCCTTGTGATGATACCTGATTATCGAACATTGATTCATCCTCATTATTATTATTTTAATACAAATTCATTATCGCTATGTTCAACTTAATATTTTTTTATTTTTATTTTTATTTTTTACCTGGTTTTTCTCCGTGTATTTAACATAATTCATTTGTGCCATAGCTTCTGGACGAGAATTCTAGAACATTTTTGAGTATTTTTCTGAAATAAAAATAATAAACAAATTTTTGAATTGCCGGTATTACCTCATCCAAGAAAATATTATTAAGCAAATCATAAATATCGCTATGAATAGATTCACCTATTATCCTTTGGTAACTTTTTCCGTTTAAAAGAACAGTGCTTGGTACGTCCAGATTCTTGATTGTTGTACAACCATGGTTTAAGATAATTGTAAATTCTAAAGGACCATTGAATGTTGCTGATGAATTGTTATCCCAAAACAATTTAACCGAGATGTTGATAATTTCTTTTTCAACTATTGTAACTTGAAAATTTTTTTTGCGAGAAAATAAAAATGGTTTAAATGATTATTTTGACTTTTTGCTATTATTAATGATTTTTTGACTGATGTATTTTATTATTAATGATTTCAATCTGACATAAACTAATTTTTTCTATTAATGCAATCATTTTTCAATCAATTATAAAGTTTATAATGAATGACAAAACCATGATTTTTTATTTCCCATTTCTCATAATGTTCAGATGTCTTGCTTTAACCTTTCATCTTTTTTTTCTTTTTTATAACAAATATCAACATGATTAATTGTAGTTTTTTGTAATAAACAAATGCTTTTTTTATTCCTTTTGATTATAATTCCATATTCATAACGATAACAAGTACCAACATTATTACCTAAATCAGATCCTTAAAGTCTTAATCAATAGTGATAATTGTACCAAAATAAAGTTCATTCATTGTTATTATGCAAACAGACTATCACGTGAGTTAATGGAAGTGCCTTTTTCTTACTGATACTGTACTGCTACTATTGCTATCGCTATCGCTATTGATAAAAAAAAAAAAAAGCTAAGCCTTTTTAGAAATATTCATTTATGTATGATAATTCTGATGATCATATTATTTACATCACGATATGTCTCAAATTTTTATGGTCTGATGCATGTCTGCAAGAATTATAATTTAATAAATTTGCTAATGCTAGAGTAATGTGTGATTTTCTAGCTGACTTGAAAGTGCGTATTTTTTTATTATTTCAGAATTATAAGTCATCATTATGTTGAGTTTAATACATTGGATTGAGAGGTTTCTATAGGTAATATAGCAGCATTATTGCATCGGCCATAGATACACCATGAGAAATATTTTTATTAAATATTTATACTGTAATTTTTTTTGTACTAAAATTGGGATATATTTACATTTTTTTATGACATTACTATAGCAATACTATGTCTGAGTTTGTAATAAAATTTTGGCGATTCAAGATTTAGTAAGAATGTTAAAAGTGGCTGATAAAATGTTTTTTTTTATGCCAAAATTGACATATTGAAATTTTATTCCCATATTGATCATTTACATATAAAAAAATTACTTATTTATAAAAGATCGTCTTATATAAGCTTAAGTTGCAAAACCTTCAACATAAGTTTTCAACACAACTACTTTGTATTAATGCAAACATTAATTTTTAGGCAAAAATTACGATATCATTGTTGTTTAATTAGTATAGGACTGCCAAAATTTGTACCATCTATTCTAAATTACTTGCATAAATATCTTAGCATTCTAGAAATATTTTAATAAACCATGGTAGACCTCTAATCACTGATTTTGGAATATCAAAGTATATAAAAGATATTACTTTATCAACATTTCATTTAATGGGTATGGCTGCATATATTGAACCACAATGCTTTTTGCAACGTGAAAAAAAAATTATACATGATGAACGATCCGATATATATAGTCTGGGTGTGATAATGTAAGAACTTACAAGTGGAAAATCTCTATTCTCGGATTTGCCCAAAATTATATTATTCTGTCAGGATTTTTCTTGGGGAACAGAAAAGATAATTCCTGGTACTCCTCAAGAATATGCAAATATTTACATAGATTGTTGGTCTTTGAAGCCAGAAAAATGTCCTAAATTAGTTAGAATTTTAAATGACCTTGATAATTTATCAACAAAAACAATTTGCAAAGTTATCATTAATGATATTTTATACAAAAAAATAGGTAATTGTATCAATTTTAAGTTGATTATTCTGAATTAAATACTCATGAATTCTATATTTTATGTCTAAATGAGCAACGTGATGATAACCAGGAAGCAAGCAGTCAAATTTTGGTTATGACTGTTTTTCATGATGCTAAACAGAATGTATCAAAAATTGAATTTGACAAAGAATCACTTATGAATAAATCTGAAGAAGTTAAATCTAATGATGTACATGCATTAGAATCCAGCGGTGTATACTGTAGAGGTATCACTTATTGATTTGCTTAATACTAAAAATTAAGCATCTTTGTTTGGAGAACGTTAAAGCCAGTAGATATTTAATCCAATCTGCTAGATGAAACAAAAAATAAATGACCAAATATATAAAAAAATAAATATACGAAGAAGTAGATATTAAAGGCTCAATGCGATGTCTTTTAACTAATAGACATTAATACATAATCTCTGTTTTAACTCTAATTTAATCAAATTAGTGTTAAAACTTTACATTACCTAGCTTTAATGTTTTAACTAAAATGACATATGATGCTTAATTTCTAACGCATGCTATAAGTATAAACAATCTTTTAAAGATAATTTTATTTATTACAAAACAGGCTATATTTGAAAATGCAACACCGATATCTGCCGCACAAACTGTTTTCAAAACTTCTAATGCTTTTACTCCCGAAGCTAAGAATATTCGAATAATAATTTTGGACCATTTAGAAGTTTTATTTTAAATGGTAATATCTGTCTTTTTTCTTCTATATTTAATAATAAAAGTCATAGAATGGGTAATGCTAATAGAACATTCCAAGTTGGATCTTTATTTCCACTTGTCTATCCTTAGCGGAAAAATTTTTTTTTTGCCAAATGAAAGAGGAAGGAGAAAGAAAAGTAGCTACATGTGATATCTGTTGCAGATGAAAAAAGAGATGTGTTGGAGATAAAATGATGTAAATAGTGAGAAGAAAAAGGAATTCTTAGAAGATTTATAGATTTTTCAAATTGTCAAGTCATGATACTATTTCATTTTGAATTTACTATTCAAATGTTAATTAAGAATGAAAAAAAACAATAGGCAGAGAACACTATTGTTTTCGGTATTATGATAACAATAGTCAGTACATCAACTAGTGATCAATTGATAAGGTTATTTGTTTTTTTTTTCTTTTTTATTCCATATCAATATTTGAGTTTCAAATAATCCAAAATCGTACTATTTTGACACATATATATAAATTGCGGGATAGAGATATTAATATATTTATCTGCATTATCTATATCGCATAAAATTGCACAAGAAATAACATGCCTGACCAAGCTGACAATGACTTAGTTAAATTGCAAAAAAATTTAAAACAATGCTCAACAAGAATCTCTATATTTGGTTGGTACAAATATTAGATAGATTGTTATCTCGAATAGTAAATAAATGGAGAGCCTTTATATTATAAAAACTGCTATGAATGCTGGCATGGTAAATATTAGCTCCTTTTATTTATATACAATATTAACGTTTAAAGTGTTTAAAATAATATTTTATTTTTATTTTATTAGAATAGATATATCCAGAAATCGACAAGCCCTTATAATGTTCAAGTTGTGATTGAAACTGTTTCCCATCATTTATGATAAATTATTTGATAAGAGTAAAAGTTGGACAAGAAAGGTGACTATTAGTGATGCCAAGATAAAAGGTGAACTATCACGTAATAGGCTAATACTACTTATATTTTTGAGATTTAGATTAAAAACGTGAAAACCATAAAAATATAAACTGATAAACGTTATAACTTGCGATAAAAATATACTGTAATTTGCGACAAATAGTACCCCAGGTCTCTTACATGGTCTTTTGTCTGAATAGTTAAACATATTAATAAGCATGAAACAAAGATTCTCACGCATATTCAATAATAATATTTTTACTAATTCTTTTTAGTATTACATTCTTTTAGATTATATTTGTTTTTTACAAGATTACTCCTCATATTAATTTGATAATATACTCTGTTTAATAATTAATAAAGCCTTTTCCGAGTGGTTAAAACATTATAGAATTCCAATATAGATTTCTTTACATGTTATTAATAATGAAAGTAGTATAGAATGAAAATTTTTTATGCGTCATTGTTTATATGCAATAAATTCAAGTTAAAATATTTTCTAAATTAATACTGTAATTGATATCAAAATTAATATATTTCCTCAAAATGTTAATAAATTCAAGTTAAAATATTTTCTAAATTAATACTAAATGATATTTTCAAATTTGTCGAAGAATTTTTTCATTTGTATTATCCACGTGATTTACGTGATGTCGATTATAATTGGCATTTTCACAAATTTTCAAATTTTTTTTATGATTTTTTTTGAATAGATAAAATATATTCAATAAAAAGTTTGCTTTAGTTACAAAAATAGGTTTTGATATAAACGAGGTTATCTGTATTTTTAAAATTAATAGACTTTTGATGGTAAGACAAAATCCAAATTGGAATTTCTCAAAAGTTTTTATAGTTAAACTATAAAATATAGTACTTTCTATCTTCCTCTCCAAATATTTTAAAATAAACTAGTGGATTAACACGCATGATATTCAGCAATGATACTGATTAGAAATATAAATTACCACTCCCTATGTGTAATTTAACTTCATTTCTTTGTTTAATATGTGTTTAATTTAAAAAAAAACGATCTTTTAACTAAATTCTTGAAACAAGAACAAGTTTAAACAAAAAGTATTTGCGCTTTTCGAGTGGTTGATTTTAAATAATTCCAAATAAGAAAAGGTCCAAACAAAATTTTTTCACGTTTTCAAGTAGTAAATTTATTGCATTAGATTAATTTAATCATTTTATTAATCTAACTTTAAAAATTAGCATTTGGCCAAAAAACCATATTTAGCCTTAATAGTGACATATAAAGCACCAAAACCTTTGTGTATAGAATTCCAAATTGAATCTAATTGGTACTCGATAAATTAACCACTCGAAAATTGCAAGAATACTTTGTTCAAAATTGGTTATGCGAAAAGTCTATGCCGCTTTTAAGTTAAGTAAGAATATAAAACAAAGAATTAAGCAAAGGATTGGACCCGGTTAGTATAATTAAGTAATGGCACAAAATTGAATAAGTTATTTAATGATATGAAAATAGAAGTATTATTACCTATATTGAAAACTACTCAGAAATGAGCATAAATTTTTTGTTCAAAACTTGTTTCAGAAATTATTATGTAATTACACGAAAAGTTTGTGCCACATTTAAATCAAAGAAATTGGTTCTATAATGTTTTTAACTTGGAAAAGGCTCATTAATTATGCATATAGGAATTCTATCTAAAATTATCATTTAGTATTAATTTAGGTAATTTTTTGTATAAAAAAAGAGGGATAATAAACCATTAGGTCAAATACTGAGTTATACAAATTTGTAATGACATGTAAAAATTTTTATTCTGTACTATTTTCATCTTATAAACTTTATTAATAACATGTAAAGAAATCCATATTAGATTTTTATAATGTTTTTAACTACTTGGAAATTATTATTTAGTATTAATTTAGGTAATTTTTTGTATAAAAAAGGAGGGATTTAATAAACTATTCAGTCAAGAGACCACAGATTTTGTAATGACATGTAAAAATTTTCAATCTATACTATTTTCATCTTATAAACTTTATTAATGAAAAGAAATCCATATTGGAATTTTACTATATAAATCGAATTTTCTTTATTCCCATATTATTTTTTATAATCAACCGTTATAAAAAAATAACAAACCATATTTTCATAAGTATTTGTTCGAAAATATATTACTAATACAGATAGTATGGTCTGGAGTCTTAACGAAATAGGATCTCTATGAAAATCACATAGTATCAATAATTATTCTATGAAACAAAAAGAAACTTGACTGTGTTAAAAAAAAAATATAAATACTAGAATAAAATTTAGGATTATCATTCTTAATTAAAATTGATAAAATGCAAACTCATAAGGGTGAAGTAACTATATAATTCAATAGCACTATTGAAAAATATTATATTAAATCTCTTGATACAAAATATACCAATAAGAAGAAAATTTAAAATGAAACTTTTCGATTTTCTTAAACGTAAAGGATATAATATGACGCTTTCTGATAGCCATCCAATAAATTCAAATTTCAGATTTTTTAATCTAAATAATAAATGGGCATTACAAATTGGAAATTATAGAATCACAGGAGATGGAGATCATGATCTTATTGGTAATAAAAATGGAATACAAATTATTGTACAAGCTAAATCTAGTGAAACAGACAGATATCCAAAACTTGAAAAAGAATATAAAAAATTTATATGGAATATGAAAAATCGAAGACCTGCTAAAGAAATAGGAATTTTCGTTGTAACAAATGAAATTAATATAAATGCATTTAAAGATATCACTTCAACTGAATGCAAAATAATTATTTGCTACTTCAATGAACTAGATGGATATATTGAACAAATAGAACAAGAACATATGAGAGAAATGTTAAAATTACATAATGATATTTCTAATGCAGAAAATTGCATTGATAACTCAAATTCAATAGAAGAACTTAAAGATATACTTAAAACATTAAAAGAACAATTAGAAACAATAAGCAATATAAAAAACAGTATGTGTCATAACTCAAAAAAATATAATAATATTAAAGATCTAGATAGGGTATTAACCAATTTAAATCTCTCACAGTAAGGTGTTTAACAAAAAAAGTCATGGATGCTAGCGTTTTTTAAGAACTTTATTATTAATAGTGTGTATATATTATAAATTCTTATTATAAATAAATATATTTTGAAGTATAATTATTATTTTCAGATATTTAACCAATAATTTTTTTACATTGAATTGTACTATATAATGTTTTAGCTTTTGAATGACAATGCGCTATTTACCAGAGTTACTAATTAATTCCTAATTAATTCTATCAAGATAATGCTTACCAGAGCTATATATTAATTCTA